ACAACAGTGAGCACGACATAATGAAATTCAGCGAATCCGCAGACGCAGTGCTCCTGTGATTCTTGAACGAGCTGCATTCCACTATGATCCGGCAATTGATTATTGTGCCGACAAATCGGTAACTTAATGTAATTAATGTGTCGAAAATAATAATAAAACTTCATGCTTCATTTAAAAAATGCTTTTTTATTCAATACGTTTTGTTTGTTTTGAAAAGAAATTATTCAAAAGTTTAGGTCTTTTATTTATCGATTGAGGCAGTACGAAGTCTGCCGGGTCAGCTAGTAAATAATATATCTTCGTCTACTACTATGTAACATGTAAAATTACCTTGAAGTTTTGCATTTGTGTTACTTAACTTAAATAGCAGAATGGTAATTTACACGTAAAAACTAAAAAACTTGACCTTTGTTTATATTGTATATTGTTGGTTGACTGATGCGACGCCATCTTGTCTAGAGAATCGTTTTGGCGGGTTTTTGAAATTAAAATGTTTAATTAGAATTTTTAAAACTAAACATTAAAATTAAAAATGACAATATGTGAGGTATAGTCACTAATAAATAATCTGAAATGGGTTTTAAAATATTGTCGAATAGCCCATCAACTATGAATATATTTAGCTGTTTTTATAAACATTTTTGGTATTTAAGATATTGAAATCAAGTGTTAATAAGTTAAGGTTACGTGCATTGTCGCACCAAATAACGAAATTAAAATTTAATGTAATAGTCCCAATATTACTAGCTCACGTCATACATAAAATAACATATTGTTGAAATCGAAAACGTTATCTACTAGAAGTGACATTGTAACCTTACGTTTGAGCCTCTGCTCCTATGAAATAATAATTTAGATTATTCCAAAAGACTTGAGTTCGTTTTGCAGCGTAACAATTGGTATGATTGGAATTCTAATTAAGATAAATGATTAACGAAATATTTACGTTGCGATGGGTCACCCCATTACAGCCATAACTACTAAAATAGCAATTGAAGAAACTCTCAAAGTTTCAGGAAAAACTTGAAGGAGTTTCGACACAATCGGTTACGTTCTTTGTACAAGTTTAATCAGATATTTCTTCACTTATAAAACTAATTCCTTGTTACATTTCTTTGGTTTAAATGTATATAACCTTTTATATTTTTCGCGTCCCCTCTAGATAATATTGATACATTTCGTAACACCAAGCATCCCATCATCCCACTTGTCCCTCCTTTGAGAAGAACAGATATCCAAATTGAGCATTCTGATAAACCAGCTTGGTCGGGTATCCATAGTTGCTCCCCTCACACTTTGAAATCAATGTTCCTTTAGATTTTATAATTTATGAATCGATTTATGTTTTACCGTGTTCTCACATTAAATCTAGTATTTTATTGTTCTTATGTATGAGAGGGCGTTGGAGGCCTTGAAAGGAAATTAAATATCTTTAATATAAATCTAAAATATTACCAAATACGAGTAGTATGAAATCGCATTCCGACTAAAATCTATACGAATGTTAAGTTTTTTGATTTTCAATAAATTCTTAAATAATACTTTATATTTGTAACTTGAGAGATAAATTTAAACAATTTGCCAAAAAAACTGCTCGATTCTGTTCTTATTTCCTTAAAGAGTTTAATTGAAAGTCGAAGTATAATCAGAGCGAACTACAAACGCAAACATTAGTAATTACATAGTGGGTTGCTAATTGAGATTTACGTAACCATTCCACTGATTTAGTACCGATTAGTGCCAATAGTAATTATAGTTTCAGTATTTAAGTGGGTATAACAATAATTATATATCAGGAGAGTACTTGTTAGGGAGCGTTCAAGTATTACGTAACGAATTTTGGGAGGGGGGGTTCTTTTGTTTAAGTCCATCATTCCCTTGATATATTTTAGTCGCTACAGTAGCAACTAAAAGGAATTCCAATGTAATGTAAAGACTAGCCAGTGGCGGATTTAACAGCAGGCTGGAGCCTAGGGCGGCAAATTTGGGAACCGACTTTTTTGCTACCTTATAGAAATCAAAAGGATTTCTACATGAAAGTTTTCTGATGTTTTACAGATAGAAGTCTACAACAAATTTTGCCGCAATCAGTAATCGACATCTGCGCCCTCAGCTCACACATGAGTGAAAAGAGCGAAATTGCAGAAAGTGTATTTTCCTCTTCTCTCTTCCCCCTATCAACCTATACATGTCAGTCCTACTACTGGAGGCTACGAACTGCATGGTTTGTGTAACATTTTGTACTCAAAAATCAAACCCAAAAATTATTTTACGTGCAACGAAATTGTTGAATTCTAAAAAAAACTAATGAACGTACTTTTCCAGACCCATTGATAAAATTAAAAAATTGGTTGTGATTTTTTATTTAACTTAATATTATCCCGGCGTAAATAAGGCTTAAAATTGCAACAAATCAGACCTTTAAGAATTAGGTTCAGTGTCAAGAATAATAGCAAACTATGTAAGTGAAAATTTTGTCAATTTGTCATATTGACTCAATTACACTAAGAGTATTGAGTATTCACAACCCTTTGCGTCAGACCCCCGGCCCATGAATTTTATTTATATGACAAACATGAGGAAACCCGTATTGTAGACATAAAAACGGACGAAGTGAGACACAGAAGGCTGATCACAAACAATTACAAAGAAGTGTTCAATACATTCTGCACAAATTAGATTTCATTCACGAGGTGGAGTAGCGCTTTTGAATTATCTATTATCATTAATAAAATCTTGTGTGTGTACCAACTATAAAGTCATGGCGTCATAGTTCCTAAACGAATAAACAAATTTTATAGGACACTCAAGAGTGATCCTTTTTTTATAGAACAGGGAGCAAACGGGCAGAAGGCTCATCTGATGTTTTATGTTAAGTGATGCCGCCACCCAAAAGGCTCGCAGATGCATTGCCGGACTTTTAAGAATTGGTACGCTCTTTACTTGAAGGACCTTAAGTCGAATTGCTTCGGAAATACTTCAGAGGGCAGCAGCCGGAATACATAGTGGTGGTGCGAGGCAAAAACTGCCTAAAAAATGCTCAGTTGTGTAACGAAGGACGTCGAGGTGATACAACTCTGATCTTAGAACTTATCCAAATTCATTAAGACGAAGAAGATAATTGCACATTTTGAAGTGTTATTTTATTTCAATCCGTTGAACGAAGGAAATAAAAATACATATATTTCCTAAATGTAGAAAATAGCATAATAGGTACATGGAAAACACAGGTGCCTTTGTTCCTTTATACATTTTCCTAGAAGCTCCAACGCTGAAGACGCAAGTTTTATAAAGTAAATAAAATTTCGTATATTTCACGAGCATTACTTGAAATGTTTTAGCCGTATTCCGTACGTTAGGCAATTTATTTTAGTTTTATTTATTCTATTCAGAGTTACTGAGTGGCTTTTACCATTTGAATTTAAATTAAGCTTAAAATTATACGCCTAGTTATAAAACACGAGCAATGATTAACTTTATTTATTTATTATTTAAGTTTTATATGCGAACAAGATTTTTATGTGATTTTTTTTCTTTAATTCTTGTGAGAAATGTTGCCATGTTTTATCGTAACGGCTTCTCGGTCAATATGTACGGTAAATAATAATAATGATAACCTCATAATGAGGCAGCATTCATAAACATATTATTATGTATGACATATTATCACATTTTTCTATATATATTTAAAACTAAACAGGTGAAACGACTGTGCCTGTGAAACACAAACAAATATTTTCCGAAAAAGTAACGACACAAGAACATACAATAAACAATCTTGTCTCAAGAACAACTGGCTATTTTGTGAAGTAAACAGAGGTTTTCTCAGATCTATTTAAAGAAGAAAATTTGGTAAATAGCACGGGAACGTCTTCCCATTTGCATTAATATAATTTTAATGGAAGAGAGGTCTCGTTTTATTACTTTTATCTCTATTCAACATAAAAAGGGTTTAGAAGGGTGAAAGAATGGCGGCGATAAAGATAATTTTATTATGAGAAATTTAAGCAATATAAAAAATACTAAAACGTGAATTACGTTGCCTGCTTTAATTCTCTTAAACAGTGGGAATGTTAAGTGAAGAGCTGTATTGGCCCAGAGCTTGGACTCTCTGATGTCATTCGGTCAAATTATTCTCATTCATTATTTGTAAGGTGATAGTGGAGTTAGTGGATAATGTATTGGGCACATTTACTAAACTAAACAGCATTACAGGATTTATTTTTATTAGTAGTGGTAGTTTGATCAGAGACCGGAAAAACGTAGTACGTAAGTACTGCCTACTTAATAAATATTATGCTTGTCAATACAAAAGCCTACGGATCGCCCAAAAAGGGTAGTCATTGCAGCCCATGGACAGTGGACACCCATTTTTAGTGGGTGCGTTGCCGGCCTTTGAGGGAGGGCACAGGAGGTACACTCTAACTTTGAACAGTTGGAGATCGTATCTCTCAACCTAATCCTGAAGTCGATAGTTGGTTTGCTAGTTGGCAAAAGAAAGTCTTGTGATGCGGACTGTGGAAAATTCCATCAAGGTGAGGTTGATGAAATTTTAAATTGAAACGGATCGTACGGTGTTGAAACGAATACAATTCTTCAGAAGACTCACTCAAACTATTCAATACGAAATAATATTCAAGGGAATATATACAGGAAATAAAATAATAAATGTGTAAATAATTTACTTCATATCTGTACATAATCTATAAGAAATATATTTTATTTACATGCTTATTTAATGATTTACAACCAGTACATACTTAATCTTGAAAAGTCTTTTAAATCTCTTTAATATAGATTCGATACCTTCCACACAATACATAAAATATTAACAATGTACACTTAAATACAAAAAAGCAAAATACAAAATGTATGTAGAGCTTTTAAGGTATAATTTATTAAATTAAAATAAATAGTTTGATAACCTAAAATAATTGCATGGGAGGTATCAAAGAAATTGTTCCTAGTCAAATATTTTTGGCTCAAGTTTTGCCAAAATATCAATTGCATGGAACTTGTTTATATCGTAGACACACTCCTATATTATCTTCTGGGTTCTCTTTAATGGTAGGAGGTCCAAAATGCATGGATACGGCAAAGGGAGATATTGAAGATTCGACGTGGCAATCCTCAAAACGCATCCCGGGACAGAAATTGCTCCCACAGTGGTGGGGATCACACACTCCCGGACTGAATACTGAACTCTAAAAAGAAGAGTAACAATGTTTAAACGTAGACAAAACCCTATTTATTCTATTGGGATATTATAGTTATATTAGTTCAAATCTATCTAGTCTAAAATTAATCACAAAAAGAAATTAAATGGCTCAAGCTAAAAATAAAGAGAATACTAAAGAAATGTAAATTAAAATATACTATTCCATACTACAAGAAACTGCGTTTTATAATTATGACTTTGTTTATATTATAACTTTTATTACAATTGAAAAGAATGTTTAATAACAAAGCTTTAATTCTAAATCGTAATAATTTAAGTCATCAGTTCCAATATCATAAAAACTTAAAATTAATAATATAGGTATGATTAAAACAGAAACTAGAATAATGATATAATATGGTAATAAACTTACCGAAACAAAATACTCGTTTTCACAAGGTATTGTAACTCGGTCCCCGCATTTCTGTCTTCCGTAACCGCTAAGGCCTTTGCCATAGTTGCCATAGCCATAATACGGGAAAACCTCGTCTCCGTAGTTCTGGATGTATGGAGACCAGTGCCAGGTTCGACTCTGCCCCCATATCCAAGAAGGCCAGATATAACTCCATATCTATACATTAATTGTTAGTCTAACTACAGGGGTTTCACAAGGGAACAGCCTAGGCACACCTTTATTATTATGGTATATATGATAAATTATTTAAAAATTTACTAAAATAAAATGATAATCCATAAACCTAGGTATTTCAATCCATAAAGCCAATTAGGTTCTAGAGTTTTAGTCGGGTGGGCTTATATTATTTAATATTTAGTTTTTTTAATACATAGTAAAAATTAATAATTTTGATTAATATTGGAAAATGGAACGAAAGCAATATAAATTTTAGGTTCTTTAGTATTGGACATTAAATATTGATATTAAATTGGATAAGTAAGTATAAATAAATTAAAATTATGGTTACGATTATTTGCAAAGGAGGTTAAAATTTCCATATATTTCTGCGTTTGTTTCCCTAATAGGTATTTTACATATAGATCAGTACCAAACTGGATTCTGTGTCTTCCGAACAGAAACATATTTCTAAAACCATCTTTTTTCTGGTTTAAATAACTAAATACAAGACTAAAAACATAATCATGACAACTGAAATACTTTAAGTAATAAATTACCCTATTCATTAAGCCAGGAGCAGGTGTTGGGGGCTCTACAATTTGAGGTTCAGCTCCAGACCCTTCTTCCTCCTGGATTTGGTCATTAACAGGCATCATATCGTCATTTTGGACTGGATCGGCTGAAATCAATATTATTTATAAAACAAAACTCTCACTCTCACGAGGAGGAACCTCGAAACTTTGGATTCGATTTTATCGGAATAATTGTAAACTACATATATTATAGTAGTGACAGTTGACAGTGAAGAAGCAATACAATAGACTGATATACAGTTATATATCTTCTACATTCCAATTCTCTTCCAGAATAATTAATATATAACGTAAAATTTTATGATCTTGATATGAATATGATTTTTGTTGTATGTATTATGTATATTTGTATTTCTAAAATAAGTAAGTAATAATAACTAATACAAAAACTAATTACCAATTAAATCTTCAGGTCCATTGCCTCCTGGTCCTATCCGAAAGGATCTGCTGTCACAAGGAGAGTATCGAATCGTACAAAATCCAGTATTTCTTCGAATACACGATCTGTACTCTTGACTTGCTAAATGACGACCGTTTGATGCAAAATTAAATGATCGTATTGTACCTGAAAAGTAACAATTAATAATTTGAATTGTAATTTATAGATGATAGAACAAATATGTTTATAACAAGTTATTTAAATAGCACAGCCACCACTATCAATCAAACACCAATTTTTTAAGAGACTTTTTCAGACCGTATCTATAACCCTTTAAATCACAATCAGTCTTGAGCATTGTCAATCATATTGACAACAATAGATCTACTGTTGATGGATTGTATGGAAATATTAGTAACATCCATTTCTTTGTTGGATTTTTATATAAAATCCAAGGACAAGAAGAATTACCCAGATAAGTCTTGCATCTTTAGTCTTGCAAATTTCCTATAGTGAAACTTACCATTGCTTTCCGTGAGGTACTGCAAGCAATTGTGTGGAGCTGAGTACGCTAGGGGCATCTGAGCAATCCGTAGCAACCACAGCCTTGGGTGATCTCCGCCTCTCATCCTGAAGGCCAGGGGAGTAGACCTAGTGGATGGAAGTTCACCATCCTCTCGAGTTTCTACCGCACTTGAGAGGGTATAGTATACTGGGAAAGGAATAATGATATATTTAAATTAAGAAAAGTTAGTTTAGTGTATGCTAAAATGTTCTTTTAATATTTTATTTAAAAAAATTGAGTTAGGTTACTTTATACAGTTTAACATATATCTCAGTTTACAATTTAACCGTCACAACCAGAAGGTTGGCCGTTTTCTTTAAAGGATTGTGTTAATTATTATTGACGATAAAACCTACATTTGTAAAAGTGTGACGAACAGGAAAATAAAAGAAAATGGTGACTCAAAACACGTCCTAAGTTATCCCAAAGCGATATATCTGATAGGGTTTATTACCCAAGTTGAGATGACATATAATATGACGCTTGAGATTTGTATACGAAAAACGGTGCTAAATAAAGAACTTGATATCACCTTACCATATTACTATAGGAAATTTATTACTTCTATACGATATTATTAATTCAGACAGAAGATATATTATCTCGATATAGAATAGTTGTATAGATATTTTAAGCTACAATAAAATATAAAACGATTTTTATGAACAGATAAAGCAACCCAAGAGAAAGGTTTATTTATATAATCTCAACGTAGTATAAAACAAAATCGTTTCCCGTCGTTTGTTTGATTAGGTCTTTCATCCTACGTTCCTGAATCCACGCGAACGAATTCGCGTGTACAATAGCTATTGTATTATCAAATAATTCAGTAGGGCTGCAAAAATAATTTGTGCAGTCAAAGTCAAAACTTCATTTATACTTCAATAAAAAAACAATAATTCTAAATATTTACAAATAGTTATCAAATTATGAATTAAAATAGACGGCAATTAATTCTCCGTCATTGTTTTAAATCTTAAGACAAAGTTTTTGCTTTACAAGAAGCATCTAAAAACCTACCATTGTGCTTGTAATAAGCACTAGTTTGAAAATATAATTTATGAAAGTATAATAAAACATAATATTATATATAATAATAGGTGATAATAAATCAAAATATTTTATTATAAAATCTACTCACCATGTTGTTTATGATTCTGCCCACATAGAGTTAAATTAGATCTTCCTTCACCAAGAATCATGGCATCTTCATCACATGCACCAGTCCGTCGATTTGGCTGACCCTATAATCAATTTAATCGTTATATATTATTTATTAATTATTAAAATATCTACTCTAGTGTAAGTAACAATTAAAAAATATAACATACTATCGTAAAATGTATGAAATCAATTTTCAACTGCATAATGCCGGCGTGTGTCTTCTCGATCTCAATTTTGCAGTCTTCCTCGCCAGACCAAAGTTCTGGGAAACCCGGGGATGAGAAATACGTGAGATTGTTTTGAACCGTACCTCCACACGTCACCTCAACTGAAATTGAATAGTTATAATTAAATTCTAGCGCTATGGATACTAATAACGAAGGTTAGGTGTAATTTTAATGAATTATATCATATATGGGATGAAGGATCTTTATTCTACGCTTACAGAGTGTCGGGTTGACAAGTGTAAAATTAACGTTTCTTATGATCTTATATGCTTTTAAATACTTACAAATAATAAGAACCTTATTGGTTTTTGTTTGCCAAAAGAAATCGACTATTATGAAAGAATGCTTTACGAGTAAAAACAATTTGTTCAAATTTATATGGGCACACAAATATGTGACCAACATTTTGTAATTAACAAAACAATTATGCCATCGAATCCAATTTGGAATGACATCAGCGTTAAACACTAAATATATTGTTATATTTATAAAATTGTAAAAATAAATGCTTTAGTATATTTTTTTAATTGTTATTAAACTGAGACCCTGGTTGTCTTTGACTAAAAATTTCTTACTTTCTACTTTGTGGATATAATGTGTGTTCACTTAAATGAAAGCGCAGGAAACGGACAATTTTAAACGTTTAACTCAGAGACCGTTACCATTTGGTGACGATAAAGCATTTGCTTTTGTTTATAACGTTATATCTTTTAAACAAAGCATGGCGTTTATACTTATTTTATAAAGTTGAATAGTGTTTGTTTAAAGACACGCTGCAAAATAAAGTCCATTAATCGATGGAGGAGACATCATCACGCAAATTTATTTATTTAAGTGTTATACCGCGAAAGCGTAGGGTAGACCCATATTATTTCAAAATTATTTGATAGATATATTTGTGGTATCAGTAAAAATCTACCAGCGACTGTCTATATACAATTATTTTAATATAAGCTCGCATACATAACAACGCAAACATGCTTTGTTATTTATAAAGGCTTTGCAGCCTTATTAATTAATAAGACTTTAAATTAAATTCATTCACACACGTATAATTCACACACCCTTACACATATTCACACAAGGACCACCACTCATGCTTTAGTTTTATTTTGTTTATTATTTTTGTTTGGTCATAGTATGTAGTCATGTTATTGTATATTTTCTGTCCGTGATGGAAGTCTGGTGACCTCTGGACTTCTATAATCTATAGTCCTATTATAGGCACCAGCCTCTCACAAAGCTGGTCAAGCGGCAAATAAACTTTATTATTATTATTGAAGTGAAACTTCTTCTTTTGTGGGTAAAATTTTTACGGATGAATCGCAACAATAATAATAGTAGCGTCACGAAGATGTGCAGCGTTTTTATTGAAGAAAAGGGAGAGAGAGTTAGAAGGGCGAATGACCTTATAGAAATACTATTTTTAAAATTAAAGTTTCGTAAAGAGAATTTCTGAAATAATAGTACATATTTTGTATAAATATGAACAAGACTTAAAAATTAGTTTGCCAAATAAGTTTTACTTCTGACATGTGTACTTTGTACGCACGCACTTTTTTATCATGTTTAGGAAACGTTCTAACTTCTGTATATATTTATATCATAAAAATCCTAAGATGTGTCAAGCTGGCTGTCTACTTGTCTACTTGGCCAAACCCCGTATAGGGCTGTAGCGTGATTGGATTATTATTACTACCCACTAATTGTTTTAAATCAGTTTGCGCATACAGTGCGCGAAAATAGGAAACCGTTATAAATTTGGTAAAATGGACACTGCATTGTACAGTTGCAATGTCATCGAGAACGCTATATTGCGTATTGGTGGATAATTGAATTTCCCTTTCGCGATAATATTGGCTCGCTTGATTGCGTACGCCGTTAGCTCATCATGCCGTAATCTGTCATGTTTTATTGAAATGTTATTACATTGGTTTCTGATAATCCATTTTTAATTTATTAAGCTGGTTTTACTTATTACACAGGCTTTTGTGTAATCTTTTTACAATTGCAATTGCTGTTTTATGTCGTTTCTTTATATAAATATGCACGTTTCTTATTGAATTTTTTCTTTCATTATTCATTTTACTTTACCGTACTGCTGAGAGTGCACAAAACATAAATTGATGCACAGCCGGGAATCAGCTAAGACTGCCAAATTAATATATTTATTATTATTTATTTTGTTGTTGAAAACAATTTTTATTGAAAGCTTGCTAAATAATACTCTGGTTGTATTTTTACGCTGTAATATATAAATATAAAATCAGGGTCTGCCTTGCTTAGTAGTGAATATATATATGTTTTAGATAGTTTGTTATATTTCAAGACGGTACTTCATTCCGCCGCTTGCAACTGTATAAAGCGCAAATTTGGCCCCAAATGAAGTACTGTTCTCACCTCTGGGCGGGAGCCAGTACCATCTCCTTCCACTTGACCATATACAACGAAAAGCGGTTTGAATCGTCGACGACCAAACTCTTTCCGAGCGGCTTGATCCTTTGAAGTTGCGTAGAGATGTTGGGTCACTCTGCATCTTCTACCGCATTTACCATCCAGAGTGTTCAGATACATCACCTCGACGCCCGTCGCGTCGTTCCGTAACTGAGCATTTTTTAAGGCAGTTTTTGCCGCGCACCACCACTATGTGGAACCAGCTGCCCATTGAAGTATTTTCACACCAATTCGACTAAGGTCCGTCAAGACAAGAGTATCCCAATTCTTAAAAGGCCGCACTCGCGAGCCCTCTGGCATTGAGTGTCCATGGGAGGCGGTATCACTTAAAATCAGCCCGTTTGCTTGATAAAAAAATATTGGGTATCACTTACCTCGTATAAAAGATAAGAATCACCATTAATTTGAATTTTGAGAAAACAATTGCCATCTACATGTATATATGTATTCTAGTACATCATATAGTTCTAGTTTAGCTTGTAATGTAGATCACAATATATGAGCTGTATCGAGATTGACTTTAGTAAATGGCAAACTTTATCTACGCGGTTTAAAAGATGAATCCTAAATCTAGCCATGCGTAAAATTTGGTTTATACCGATAAGGATGATTGGCTATAATATATTTTTAAACCTTAGATATTTTAAACTATTCGTTCGTAGATTTATGTAACTTTTTACATATAGACATAGACATATTATTTATTACAAAGAAAAACACACACAGAAAATAGCAATAATCAAAGAAAAAAACTAAGAAAAAAATATAATGATATTTAAAAAAAACCCTTTTCCCATTCGGTTCGTTTCAAGTGTGTAATACGTGTGTGCTGCGGCTGTAATTGGCCCTGGCTCAGCATTATGCTGAGGAGCAAAATGTTCCACAGCGCTGGTCTTTCTGCCAGAGACCACATCAGCTAGTTTGCCCCTCAGTCGCAAAAAAAGAAAGAAAAAGAATGTAATAATAGGTACTTAGTAGAAAATCATAATAATAATATTTGTAAAAGTTAAGCAGTGTAAGTAATAAAGTCTTATGTAATGGTGTGTAGTAAATAAAATAAAATTATAAGTATGTATGTGGTGTAAATCTTATAGTAGATCCTTAATAATATTTCAAATCACAATTAGCAGAAATTACAGTGAAATTTAATAGCGAGACGAACTAATCCTAATAGTAACCACAGAGCAATAATATTAAAGTGAGGTTGTGGGTTTCTGTGATAAGATTGGCGGTTATCCTTTGAGAAAACACTTTCTTGAATAAATTAAGGGTGATTTCGTTTAATTACTAAGTTTTACATTTATTTTCATGAAATTTACGTGACCTAACATTACTTAACCCTTAATCTTAAATTATCGTCATTCATGTGCACTTTTTATTTTTCATGTATCCTTTATAAGTTTAGTTTGTTTTTTATTCCTGTTTTTTCTTAATAACTATATGTAATATGTATTTATGCACTTCTTGCCTACCTTATCTAATTTAATTTTTTTTTTTTTTTTCTTACAGTTGGCTGGAAGAGATCGCTCGAAAGCGATAAGGCCGCCAGTTGCCCTCTTTTACATTTCATTATCTTCAATTTTGATATTGCAACGAAGTGTTAATAAATAAATAAAAAAAACCCATAATAACGTGAAGATTAAATATATAACTTTAAACAAAATCTTTCATGATTTTGTGTGTGTGTGGAGTGTGGAGGAAGGTTGGTGAACAGTTCCTTTCAAACCTCAACGTATGTCCTCGACCAATCTAACTACGTACTGATGATTAGCAGTCGGAGTAACCTAGTTAGAGCGTTTCAGGGTAAACCTCATCGCAGTGATTGTACATGGTGCTACAACCGAACAGCTTTCTGTTAAATGTATAAATAAGATGTCTTGTTAGAATCGTTTATAATATAAACTGTAAATGTCCAAAAACTATTTTTAAACAAAAGCAATTAAAAAATTGGGATACAGCAAGATACTGTCGATGCCCCTGGATCAGTCAAAGAAATTAATTAAATTAAATATTATTTCGTTGTGTATTATTTGCACATGACGCAAGATCTAAAAACTGTTTGAAGTTTATGAAAACTTACGCTTATGAATGCTGCGTCAGGTCAGCTTAGATATATGTACAAAATAGCTAAGACGTTTTAATGCACTAAAAATGTGGTTATTTGTCTCCAGAATGTGTGATATTGAGAAATTATATCATATTATAAAAAAAAAAACAAATTCATTATATTGTGCTGGCGCGAGTTTTTAATAATAATAGTAAAAGTAAACCATTATTCACTTAGATAAGGCTAAATATAAGCTTTTAGTTAAATAGTTAAGAGTAATTAATTCACAAGAAGAAAGTCCAAAAGCTTTTCATCTTGTTTTCCCGCGTCGCTAACTTTAAGCCCGCCTGAAAATAATCTTAAAGAGGATTACAAATTTATTTCCACAATACTTAAGCAATAAATTTGAATGAGTTTTTTATCTTCAAAATTTTCCAACCCGACCAACACAACAACATTCTGGCTATGCGAAACATACTCATACACTTAAGTAATAAAACATACACAGACACATAATTTACGCATACACACATACCCCATGTGGTTTCCTTATATGTGTATTCCTATAAGTATTGCAATAATGATTGTTTATTCTCACTAGACTTTTCTCTACTATATATTGTATTGTATAAGATCTTCTGTCGATCCGAAGTGGTGGAGGCCTGATGACCTGTAACACAGGTACTCTTACCTTTAGCAGGCATCAGTCTCACACAGACTAGCTTTTTCCATAAACAGAAGTAAGAATATAACTGTCACTTGCTTATGTCCTAAGTTTTTGTGAGAAATAAATAAAAATCATCAACAAGATGTATGTTTCTTTATCGAAATGATACACATTTAATTTTTCTACAAATCATTCTGAATTCCAAAATAATTAAAAATAAATTGTCAGCCATACAACGACAGTTCAAGCTATTATTATTTAATAATTTTTATTATGATTAAACTAAGATGATAATATTTGGAAGTGTATGTGAGAGACTGGTCTCTGTAACAGGAGACCTGACTATTAATCAATAAAGGGGTACTAGCAAAATATTTTAGTGTAAAGGTAGAGTTGATCGAACGCATTTCCTTTGTCAGGAAATATTTCTTTGAGAAGAACACCCTCTTCTTGTACTCGTTGGCGCACTTTTCATTTAAATGTTAATTAGGCTAGGTTCTAATACTTTTACAACTGTTTCCAGAGACGTCTATTTAAATGTAACTGTAACTAACATTAATCGAAGTCAAAGTCAAATCATTTATTTCGAATAGGCATATAAAAAAGGCACCTTTGAAAGTCAAAATTACAAAAATGACTAGCCCCTTCCAAAACGAAGTTTCATATGGAGAAGAATGGGTAAGAAACTCTATACTCTTTTAAAATAGTTTTTAGAATATTAGGTAACTACATAGATTTGATTATTATTCATTGATCGACGAATGCAATGTAAGGCAGTATAGCTAACGACTGATTTGAGGTCTATCTTGTTTTATTTATCTTTTACTTTGATTCAAAGAATTTAATTTGAATAAATAACATGCAGTACGGCTGCTTAATTTATTCCCCGTTGGACAAGTCAACTGTCATGCACAATTTCTAAGTCCACAGAATGGGCAACAAATCAATACACAAACGAATCGTAAATTAACCTCAAATATCTGAAACAAAGGCTAGAAAGTAGGCGTGCGCCGTTCGTTATTCTCGTTGAATTTATTCTGCATTCAGAATGTCCCAGTGGTTGTAAGCGGCCACTAAACAAGCGTTTCGTAGTCCTATTAGTTTCTCTTTCATACAAAGATCAAATGGTTTATACTTGCTAATTTAATCTGTAATATTAGAAGACCAAATCTGCATACTTGTTTGTCTCTAGAATAAATTGACGATTGTTTGACGTTGTCATACTTGAAGTTTGACAACCAACTTTAAAACACGTTTGTAAATTTAGATGTACAGAAACTTGAGCTTTGTCTTTGCACTTAACAAAATAATAATAATATAATAAACCTCTAATCTTTACAGTTTAGATTTGTTATATACATTTTTTTCTTGTTATCCTAATTCCTTCAATTCGATCAATGGGATTGGAAACCCCTCAAAGGCCTCCTCCAGCTAGTCGAGCACTTTTTTCGAGATGACACAAAAAAACGCGTGGAGCATGACGTACAGACCCGAGCGGTAACGCAAGTTCGGCTCTGTACATCGAGAGCAAACAACGTATACGGCGACGTTGAGGTATTTGCTACCGCGGCTAGTAAATGCTCTACCCAATCAGATATTAGATTGCCTAACACCAACCAATATAAATAGCAAATTAAAAAACTACTTTTATATGCATTTGTCGCGCTCCTAAACAAGACTGTTATGGTTACATCAATATAAACCACAGCGGTTTGCTAATGTCACTTATTATGATTATATTATTATTTTTTTGTAAAATAAAGAAATTAAAAAAAAAAAAAAAATATCTCTCGGCTCTCTTTCTCCATTCGCTTCTATATCTGCTATCAACCTTTTTTTACAACTAACTAAATCCGCTGCCGCTTAATCTCTGGCCCGTCGCCGGTCCACTTGAATTGTTTATAGATTGGAAAAGTTGCGGTATCTTATCCACAACGATAGACGATTGCGATCGAAAGTACTTCGCCTAAAGCTAGACTAACTTGAAACGACTTCTAAGACCAGGAGTGAAGTTCTTTAAAACATTCTACGAGAAAAATTTATGTGACTTTAAAGCGTTTGCTTGTGAAATTCGTCTGTTTATTTTGTCAATTTGTACGAGTTTAAACAAGTGATGTATACAGTTGAATATTCTTTTTTGAGATATATTTTAATACTAGTAATTATAGGAATAAAATAAGATTCGTTATTGTAAAAACATACCAGACAAAGTCGAAGATTGCTTTTTATATAATCTATAGCAACGTTTTCTGTTCGATGGTGAACAGAGACAATTTTTTTTAAACTACAGAATAAGAAATAAAATGATTAGTCTATGAAACCGATTTCAAAGTGAAAATATGACCTAATGAAAATTTATGTGACATTTGCATGCCTATTTTTGTATGGCTGATTGTGCGGATTTTTATAATTGATTAATATAAATGTCCCACATTCTTGAAAATAAATGATTTATTATTATTATTACTACTCACAAACACAACACACTCCCAGCCCGTGTGCGCAGTCCCCAGAAGCTGTCCCGTCTCGCTGCCTGCAGTCATATGGGTTCAAGCAGATACCAGATCTAGCCACGTGATGCCCAGTTGCCAGACACTCTCTCTCACCTCCAACTGGGAAGAAGTTCAACACCTTTCCCAGTGTGAATACACCTAGAAGAAAATAATTAATATGTATTCTTATGCTTTTTATAAAAGTACATGAGAGCATTATTTTTTTTAAATAGTAATGTTTACAAATATGTACGTAGTTTATATAGTTAACTTCATAGTATCATGTATTCATGACGTAGCCAATTGCATATTTATGAGCGTAATAAATTATATCAGAGCAGTGTTGGCGTAGTGGCATCAGCGTGCGACTCTCATCCCTGAGGTCGTAGGTTCGATCCCTGGATGGATTTTGGACCAGTGGATTTTCTTTCTATGTGCGCATTTAACATTCGCTCGAACGTTGAAGAAAAACATCGTGAGGAAACCGGCTTGCCTTAGACCCAAAAATGCGACGGCTTGAGTCAGGCACCGAACAAATGATCATGAAACGGTTCACGGTGTTTTTACGATTAACAAATGATCATGAAACAGATACAGAATTCTGAGGCCCGGGCTAAAAAGATTGTAGCGTTTTTTTTAAATAAATTAAATACTTAACTCTAAAATTACAAATACTGTCTGTGGTTCTCAAATTTATTTTTTTGCCAAGTATTTTCTTGAAATGAGAGAAGGTTGCTAGGAGCTGCAACTATTACCCCTTGACGTGGAATCATATGATGTATGTCCGTCTGATAGTCTTAGTTATGGTTTCAGACAATTAGTAAAATACTGTTCAATACAAAAATATGATACATCACCTAATTGTTAGTTAAGATATTTTATTTACAAAATGTATAGTGTTGATGATTTTTTTAAACGTGAGTTAAAACTGAGGAGTTTGTTTTTTTGATGTGCTTTTATTACAGGAACCAATGGTTCGAATTGAAAAGTTATTTTGCGAAGTTTTTAATACATGTGTACACAGTCCATTTATCAAAGTAGAATAACTCATAACTTTTTGTTAATAAACATTAGATAATTGGAGATAATGTTTTAGTACCATTCAATAAGTACACTACATTATTAAAAATTACACTTTTACAAAATATTAAGTATTTTGAAATTACTCGGTAAAAGTTGCTTTTGATTAAAAGCTACTATTAGTTCTCGAAGGCGTCGAAGTTTTTTACCTTTTTCTTCTCTCACTTTCACCTGAGAATCATTAATCTTATAAAAAACGTAGATACATTTCTTTTATTCAACCTTTTTGTATCAGAGAACACTTTGATACTTTCAGTCTTTGAGATCAATTTGTATTGGCGCAGTGACTTTTACAAGTCTTAAATATTATAATACATAAGCTGCGGAATTCTTATTTATGATTTATTATACATTTTAGATAAAATGTTATTATCTTTCTTTCTATCTATTGTTTAGAGAAAACTATATATATATATACTTCTGTACTAATCTTATAAAGAGGAAAGATTTGATTTTTGTTCTGGCTTTTTAGACTCCAAAAAAATATGTGACCATTAGAATCCTACATTATTCATGATGAACATAGCAATTGAATATTTAAAAAAAAGAACCTTATGAAAAATATCAATAATGTAACCCAAGGTGTCAAAAAAATTATCAATAAAAATTTCTTTATCGCGTACGTTTCAAACTATTCACAATGGAGCAAAGTGAGTGTACTACTGTTTTAAATCTACAAAAGAGATATCATTTGCCTATTATATATATATATTAATTGATATTTAATAAAATCCTTGTTAGAAATAAAGCTTTCATTGTATTCCAGAACCTGATTTCTACTCTATAAAAAGCGTTTCTACCAAATTTCATTCTAAACTAGTCATATTATAGCGCCATTGGAGAACTTCTATATATAGCTTGTTAACCTCGACTAACGTTAGTTCACTTTTTTTTATAAGCAAAAACATAATGCTATTACTAAACGTGAGTAAGCATTTGTTTTTGCAAATCATTGATCTAAACTTTGCTTATTATAGCGATCCTTAACATAATTTCAAAGTAAAAGAAATGATCAGAAATGGTCGTAGTTCTGTGTATAAATTTACTTAATTTATCGTATGAAGTTTGTCGATGGAAACTATTCGAAAACTACAGCATAGAAATAACCCTGTCTAAACTATTTAAGGATTTCTGAACCATTTTATGTTGCGACCCACTAAAAAGTCAAAACTTAAGTAAAACAGTCTTGCGACATCGTCACTTAAAAATATAATTTAGTTTTATAACACTACACTATCATTATTCATTACTTTAACAAACGAATCTTTTGTACCTATGTGTAGATTGTATTTACTATTTTTAAACAGACTGCGACCCCCTTTTAAAATAAACTTGAGAAACTTGAGAAACGATGATTTATCGTATTATCATAAATGTTACACAATTAATAAACACATATAAAGTTATATCAAATGTTTGGTGTTATTTTCCACTTAGATTCCAAAGGAAAATCAAACTCCTTGTCACAATTGGGCACAAAACTTCCGACATGTTTTTCAGTTAGTAGTTCATACTTAGTTTTGGATGTCGTTAAGTCACACTTGAAAAATTCTTATTCCATATGTCAAAAGTAACAGCAAAAACTTTCGCACGTCCATGCTACTTAATGATAAATTTGCATGCAGATAATTATTGTATGATTTCTATAGTTAATGTTGCGTCTAATGAATCCATTAAAATCAGCAATCGTTAATATTTTTAAAAAATAAAGAACGCCTGTGAGGGGGGGCATGGTTTGTATTTAAAGTTTGTAGGATGTTTTAAGATCCATTCTAGCCATCAGGTTCTAAAACACTTCCGAGATGTGTTTTTTTCATTTTATTTTTTTTGATAAAGAATTATATGTATAATAGAACAAATAAATAAGATATATTATATTATAACTGGTAACAAGAAAGTTGATTTTAACTGGTTTATCTTGGGTAAACCCTGAGTCACAGGGGTATTTGTCCTAGATTAATAAAAATTACCTACATATATAACATTTATTAATTTTCTTTCCAATTTTAATTTGTAAACGGGAATGACTGTATTCGCAAACCTAACTGTCTTTTTTGTGATTTGTGAACTTATAGAAAGTAGACGAAAGTATTTTATTGTTATTTAACTAATATTGGAATACGAAGTAGAAAAACCAAATATTTTATCTGCGTTTTCATTGTATTTTCACTTAACCTTTAATGGCCAAAGGTATATAAGCCGCTTATAATTCATATATATTAGGTCCTTACATATGAAACTGGCGTATTGTATGGAAGGAACAAAAAGTAGATTTTTTTTAATAGAATATAATTAATTTATCAAAGTATGTACAATTTCTATTTATGCACTTTTGCCATCTTATTGATAGTTACAGATAAATAGCTGTAAATTAATTAATTTGGAATTCCTAACCAAAGATAGGTACTCGAGGTGACCAGTACTACAAAACGTCAATCTCGTATGTAAAGACCTAATATTTATTATTACTTATTATTAATAATATTTGAAGCAAAGCAAAAATGCAATAAAAATAAAAAATAAAAACAATTAAGAAAGACGAAACTAAAAAGGTTAATGGTAAGCCGAAATATTTTGAAACTATATCAGATATGGTCTCGGACAGTTGTCGCTTTAGTTAACTTAAAACAAGTAACTTTGGGCTTTACCGTAGTTCACTTTCACTAGAAGTTTTTATCTCAATTGTCTTTTTATTTCAAAACCGTAGTTTGTTGGACAGAACTTGTTTATTGTGTCTACCTGAACTGAATAGAAATAAAAATTGTGTGTATTTCGGTTCAAAGATACTTTTTTCTCAAAGATTACATTCACTTAGCGAGAAAATTTAGAGTAGGTTAGTTATGTATATCATGTTATGAAATTATTTGGAAATAAGCTATGTAAAATAAAAATATTAGTTTCTAACAATATGTACAATATTTTTTACAAAAGTGCGGGTAGGTCCCATCGATCTTACAACAGGCATTATGTGACTAACGAATAGTAATAATTTCTTAGACGCTCGTTCAGAGATATAGATAAACACTTGAGGGCCTTTTTGATGTTTTGTAAATACATATTTATTTTAAAAAGATGTCAAAGTGACAACATCAAAAATTTTATTTATAAGAATTTAGAAATATATATTAATGATTATAAATGGAATATGTTGCGAAACGACGAATGTGTTTTGTTACCAAAACCAGCAGCCTTCATTTTTATTTTTGACTTTGACCTATTTTTTGTTATCAGTGTCCTTTTTAAGTTACTTTTTTGTGTTTTTAAATTTGTTTTAAGTAATTTTTTGTTTTTTTGTGTTTTTAAATTGGTTTTAAGTTATTGTTTTTTTATGTAAGTACTTAACTGTTGTGAATGCAGGCCGTGGCCCTATCTTGTGATGGCACGTCGAACGCGTCCCATACATGTACATTTTGCAACAAGTCTTTCAAATCTTTGAAAGGCCTCAAAATACACATTACTAAAACACACAGGAACTGTATTAGCCAAACCAGTTCACTTTTAGAAATCCTTCCCATTATTCCGAGTGCGCCTACTTTTGTAGCCAACGCTCCAACTCCTTTCGATACATTACTTAGCCATTTGAAAAATAGTATACCCATTGTTAAAAGAATCCCTCGAGGAGCTTGAATAACTGTTGCTACACATTTGTCAAAATTAATCCAGAAATGTTACATAAGCAATAGTAATCAAGACTGGCAGAACCTATTTTTATTTTCATACAGTACACTACACATAATAAAAACTGATGAACCGAATTTATCCCTGACACAAAAGATAAAGAATAACTGTGCTGTAAGTTCCTCACCTTCTCCCGCACCTCTAATTAAACATGATGCCCCTTTTAATCGCAAAAAACTCATCGAGAACAAAATTTGTGACGGAGATCTTAAAGGTACCGCTCGCCTTTTGTTCTCCAATGACGTGCTATCGCCAGATACCCCTGACACCCTTGAGGCATTACGGACAAAACATCCCCCAGCTCCAGTAAACCCATATTTTCTCGACCCACCAACAGCAGGGCAAGCATGCCTTCAAATTCGAAACAAAGATGTAACTGATGCAATTTTATCTTTTAAACCAGGTTCGGCTGCAAGATTGGATGGAATCTCACCCCAACATTTTAAAGATTTAACATCG